AGATGCAGAAGGTACCCTCCAGTTTACTGGAGATCATGCCAAAAGTAATTTAGAAATAATCACAAAGAATAGCTGCAAAAAACCTCATTCTTGAGTTTTAGTTGCTGTATCAATTTTCTTTTATTCTGATGGTGAACAGTAGACACCTGAAAAAAATCCAACATTATTTATTAAACAAAACAAAACAAAAACAATCAAACAAAACCAAAACCACAAACAAACAAACTCTGCAACAACAAAAAAAGCACTATAAAATAGCACAAATGAGCTATTTTGTCTGCCTCTCAAGGAAGGAAGAAATTGGTCTGGAAATTCATTGCAGCAAAATGAGTGAGTTATTTTGCTGACTGTCAGTGGTGGGTAACAATGTAATGCATTAAGTGAAGGCTAGGTTTGAATAGATAGAAAATTAATCTTCAGCCACTCTCTCCTGTGGGATTTCTCTGTGCCAGTATTGATTGCATTTCAGCTCCTGGCTTGAGAGAGAAATTGGTTGGAGTTGGATTTTAATTATATTCACACGCTGGATCACTTTCTGTCAAAATATGTGTTTTGCTACTTTTCTGAAAACAAAAGTTTAACTTCAAACCGTTATAAAATGGTACCAGTTGACACCACAATCTGACAGGCTTTTCATGGAAATTCCAGATTAAAATAATAACAATGAAATTTTCCTTTTTAATCTTTTTTTTTTTTTTAGATTAATATACTTGAAATTCAAAAGTTTTAAAATGAAAACAAAATAGATTTATTTTATGTAGAAGGATTCACTATATTATAAATTATTTGGATGTATAAGGCCTGGTACAGCATTCATTGGTCTTGCTGCTCAGGAGGTAGTGTCCCAAGTGAGTTCAGCACTAATTTGTCAGTAATGGTTCTGGTACTTACCTGTTGTGTATAGAACCAGTTCAGTCACCTTTACATTTACAGAACAAATTGTTCTTGTGTGAGGGTAACTTTAAAATTTTTAAAGGGTTTTGTTATTTGCTCTCTCTTTTTTCGGCACATTGATGTGTTGTTTCGGTATCAGAGTTTTACGTCACAAAATACTCCCACGAAGGTCAACAAGAGCAGTGTGAAAGCATCTACATTTCTTTATGTAGTTTTAGATCCACTGCATTAATGAAGTTGAGAAGAGTTTTTAGATTAATGTTTTTGGTTGGGTATCATGGAATATTGGTAGGAATAAAACAGACTCAGTCACAGTCTTTCTCAGGGGGACCTGTGTGTGCCTGTGTGCTATTAGAAATGTGAGAAAGTAGATTTTTTATTATTTTTTTTTAATTTTAAGGTATTCAGGTCTTAATTAATTAAATGTTTTCAATTTCAACAAAGTTTAAGCAGATTTTAGCAGTAGACATGAAGCTTCTTTCATAGCTTATGAGTGAATGAAAAGACTAAAAGTTTGTAATTATTAATTGGAATAAAATTGAAATGTTAAGTAAAAGAAACATGATCATTTTATGTTGTAATGCTTCAGGAATTTCAAGTAAATGTCTAAATATATTGTAATACAAAAAATTTTGTGTAAGATCTGCGAGGATGGACTGTGTAGAACATTATGTGATCCTTGGGATTGGTTTTTGTAGGGCCAGAAATTGAGCTTTGATTAACTTTGAATAGTCAGCCCTTTCCAACTCAGGATATGCTTAGATTCTGTATTCATACCCTTTCTTTTTTACCACACCTATTCCTTCCCAAATATTTCTTGTGGAAACTTAGTTAAAAGCAATCTTTCGACATTCCCTCGTTCTGGTATTTTAGTGTGGTTATGTGGCCTCGTGATCCCCAATTTTTTTCTGAAGTGTACTGTGAAAGCATCTACATTTCTTTATGTAGTTTTAGATCCACTGCATTAATGAAGTTGAGAAGAGTTTTTAGATTAATGTTTTTGGTTGGGTATCATGGAATATTGGTAGGAATAAAACAGACTCAGTCACAGTCTTTCTCAGGGGGACCTGTGTGTGTCTGTGTGCTATTAGAAATGTGAGAAAGTAGATTTTTTATTATTTTTTTTTAATTTTAAGGTATTCAGGTCTTAATTAATTAAATGTTTTCAATTTCAACAAAGTTTAAGCAGATTTTAGCAGTAGACATGAAGCTTCTTTCATAGCTTATGAGTGAATGGAAAGACAAAAACTTTGTATTTATTAATTGGAATAAAATTGAAATATTAAGTAAAAGAAACATGATCATTTTATGTTGTAATGCTTCAGGAATTTCAAGTAAATGTCTAAATATATTGTAATACAAAAAAATTTTGTGTAAGATCTGCGAGGATGGACTGTGTAGAACATTATGTGATCCTTGGGATTGGTTTTTGTAGGGCCAGAAATTGAGCTTTGATTAACTTTGAATAGTCAGCCCTTTTCAACTCAGGATATAATTAGATTCTGTATTCATGCCCTTTCTTTTTTACCACACCTATTCCTTCCCAAATATTTCTTGTGGAAACTTGGTTAAAAGCAATCTTTCGACATTCCCTCGTTCTGGTATTTTAGTGTGGTTATGTGGCCTCGTGATCCCCAATTTTTTTCTGAAGTGTACTGTGAAAGCATTGAGGGTTTGTAGTCATTGCTACTAATTTTAGAAATAAGAGTGTTAAAATGTATTTTATAATCAAATAACTTTCCAACAGAAGGGAGATTTTGTCACATGAATGATTGATTGTTGGGATTGCATTTGCATAATTAGACAAAGTCATTACTTTGAGCAATGTGAAGCTAAAAGATAACTTGTGAAAAGAACTTCATAATTTGCATTCCATGCAAATTTTGGGGCACGGAAAAGAAAAAAAAGTGGGATAATGTAGAAGCAAAAAAAAACAACCAACAAGCAAACAACACAACAAAAACCTATGAAAAATAGAACCAATGTACATTGTCTGAAGCTGTCATAATGCTGTGTCATTCCAAATCACACAATGCATAAACTGTTACTGATCCTGGCTTCAGTCTGCCCCTCAAAGTAATAATGGTTGTGAGCCTTGTCTGGCTGTCAGTTGCCCACAGAGTTGTCTGTCACATTCTCCTGCATTGTCACCCCCCTCCAGCAGTGGAAGAGAATGAAAATAAGATCATAAAAGGCTCATGGATTGAGATAAAGACAGTTTAATAAAGAAAAGTCCAAACATGGAAGCAAGGGAAATCAAAAAATTTATTCTTTACTTCTGACCAGCAGGCACTGTCCAAACACTTTTTGGGAAGTAGGATCTTAGGACACACAGCAGTTGCTCCACAAATACCCTACCTAAATGATGAATGTCCCCTCTCTTTCTCTGAGTCTGTAATACTGAGAAGAACATTATTAGAAAGCAATATCTCTTTGATCATCCTAGGACAGCTGTGCTGGCTACATCCCCTCCCAAACTCTTACCCATTCCCAGAATGGGGTTAAATACTAAGGAACAAATTGAATCTCTCAGCATAATATGTAGTAGCTATGCTGCATAAAAGTAGTCAAAATAAGTACCCACCTTCTTTTCTTCTGGAAGTTTAGTATACTTGTGAGATTCATCTCACCTGATTCTAGACAGCTGTATTGCTGACTTCTACATCTAGGTGATTTGCACTAGAGCTACTTCTACAATCAATCAAAAGTAGGAGGCACTTCTAAAGCATGATTCATGTCATGGGAAAATAGGTGTCTAATTAGGATAAGATGAATTGCACTCTAAACATTCCCATTTCTCTTCATTCACTATGAAGGCAGCCTGCAGTGATGAGCACAACGCTGCTGGGTTGTTGAAATTGGTGGCTGTCACTGGTTAGATGAGTTCTGCCCTTTGTATTCTCAAAGGAATCCAGTTCTTTAAAACCCACTGAGGGCTGATGCTTACTTCAGGCAGCATTTGAACCTATACTTAGAATGGCATTGTTCTGTAACCTCGAGATGAAGCAGATGAGAAAACATAGGCAGTTTCATTACATGACATTGTGGATAAGCTAAAATTTACCTGTCTATGCTTTGATAGAGGATACAAAACAGAACGGCTTCAGCACACACATGCCCCGACTGGCCATCAGGTGCTTCATTGTCAGCCCTATTTATCAAGCATAGCACATTTTCAAAAACTGATGACTCTATAGTATTAAAAATCTCCTTATAATTGACTGCAATATCTGGCCTGAGTAATCATTCAGTACTATAGCTGCTGTATTACTGCTTTAAGTGGCACTTGGCCCATGGCATGGGGCCTCCTGTTCCAGCTGCAGCTGAGATGGGTGAAGACACTGCCACCCCCTCTTTGGCCTTCACTGCCTCCTTGGTTCCACAGTTTTTGTAGCTGAGTTAGAAAAATTCTCTGCTTTTCAAAGTGTGTAAGAACTAGTACAAATTGACTAAGTGAACTGGAAGCGTGTATCAGGGTGCAGACAGGTGAGAGAGGATGGAAACCCAAAGCAGACAGGTGAGCACCTGAGTGTTTGGGAACCTTTCCCCTTGGGCAGATGTAGCCAGTACATAGGATTTCACTGGGACATACTTAAAATAAATCAATGAACAAAACCTGATAAAATCAGGAATTCTAAGAAGGCCTAATTTCCTTGTTTTGTGCGCCATTTCTGAAAAATCTGTTCATGCAATGTATATGGGTGGTATAATTTTTAGATTTGTGATTTGCGATATAATCTGCAGAAGGAAAAGTAATATTTAAGATTTGGTGCAAATCATTACATGTAATAAAAGGTAATTAATTTGCCTTGTGTTATAGGTGTAAAATTCCATGCAGTTTAAGTGTGCAAGGTGTTAGGCTCTTTTCATTTCCAGGTCTTCATTTCACTGAATTTTATTGGGTAAATCAAAATTGAAAGCAAACTATACACAAATATTCTTTGACCTGGAGAAACTAATTGTGAATATGCACAAATGCAAACTGTTAGCAATGAAAGAAGCACTATGTTGTGGGGTTTTTTTTATATAAAAAGAGAAAATGTAAGTAGAATTGTTTTTAGCACATTTTTTAATATTTTCCCCTTTACATGTTTTTCTTTAAATAGCCTGAAAAGAATGAAACTGAATCTGGCAGCCAGAGAATCAGACCAGTATTTGAAGACGATCCTGTTTTCCGACGGCAAACATCTTACCAGCACGCAGCAGTCCATATACCAACAGATATTTATGAAGGCTGTAAGTAGCATGTGAACAAAGTGGTTTTATATGTTAATACTAAACTCTCATTCTTAAAAGGATGTTCGTCTCCATTTTTAGTATAGGTTTACTGTTATTGTCATTTTTACTTCTTTCAGTGCTACTTCCGAGATGTGTTGCATTAGGGATATGATTCATTTTATGAATTGCAGTTAAAGAGATCCATTAGGATTGGACCTGAATTTCACAAATGTAACTGGAGGTGAAACAAAACTCTTCCATATTCTGATTTTCTGATCCATTCTTTCTCTGTGCTGTTCACATTTAATACAAACAATTCTTGACAGCTCTTCTTTACACACTGTTTGGCCTCAGGCAGAGACAAGTTCTGAAAACATTTTTAAGTATCTCATAAGCTGGTACAGTTTAGGGATATAATATGCTGTGTGAGCTGGTAGTACATCCAGTGCATTTCTAGAATTGCAGTAACAGACTGACAGAGAATTTGCATAAAGTGTTTCTAAACTATCAAAAAAATAATATATATATATCTATCTGTGTGTGTGTGTATGTGTGTATACTGATGAGAGTTCTTTCATTGTATTTCAAAATTAAGTATTTATATTTCAAATTGGAAATAAGTCCCTGTGCTCATTAGCAAGCAAAAGTCTTTATACAATAAAAATACATCTCAGCATTCAAAGAGGCTGCATTTTTTAAAAAAAGGCAGGAAGAAAAATTAAATAGGAATAGTATTTTTAAATTTTGATTTTTTTTTAAGGTCCTAATTTTAAGAATGCAGTCTTTTTCCTCTTTTAAAGTCTCATCAAGAGGAAGGAGACCCTAGTGTGACCTGAGCTTTTTAAAATTCATGGCCACAGTTGTGTGCAGCTTCCATAAATGGCACAGGGATGAAAATGGAAATGTCAGTATGATGGGGAAAAGAATCATAGTAGCTTGTATTCTTATATGGTGAGCTTGACTGACAGACCTAAAGGATTATTCTGGGATTCTGGCTTTAATAAGCACTAAAGTGCACCTTAATTGCAGGATTACAGAGAAGTGACAGGCCATTTCCTTTTTTTTTATTTAAGAGAATTGATACTTCACTGGTAAAATGTTGAAAAAACTCCTCTCCATTTATTTGGATATTTGTATGTGCCGTGTGAACTTTGGTATCATAACAGCACATAAAATGTTTTCTTGTGTTGAATTTAACATTTTAAATGAAATTCCTGAGGACACATATCCCTTAAAAATGTATATTATGTAATGTTACAGTAGAGGCCATAAACCTTAAAGAGAGGAGAAATTGTGATTTCCACAGGAAAGGTACAGCTTTGGTATCTCATAAAATGATAATAACATAAAGAAATGTCATTTTCTGGACAGAGGTGACTGCACATACACCATATATGGTTCATGATTCATTGGGTCTGTTTTTTATATTAATTACCAGAGAAGTGGAAGCCTAGAAAATCACCAGGAAGTCTGTAATTCTGTGTCAGAAAAATCACGTTGTTGTGTATCAGGGTAACTTTTTGTTGCAGATGGAATTTTAAGAGATAACAGATTGAGAATACCTAAAAGTGACAGATTTCGTATCAATAAACACAAAATGTTCGCCAGGTTCTATTTTATAGTTACAAAGTTCATGTGTCATCTGAAACACAAGTGAGCAATTGTGAGGTAGTCATTCACCGACAGATTTCCAAAAGTAGAATTGTTTTCACATTATGATAAAAATGCAATTTTTATAACACTAGAAAGACTGATAATGTATCTTGAGCACCATTGTCATTTTTCTGCCTGTTGATGGGAGCTAACCTGTCAATTCTTGGGAGAGGTTTCAGTGTGTCCTATAACGGGGAGCAGCTGTACATTTGAAAATAGTATCTGCAGTTCTTGTCTAAATCCCAATCTGTTTGGAAGCATTTGCAGCACAGGTGTTACAGCGAATCCTTCTGAGAAACAGTGGATGAGACACAGTTCACAAGTTTTACAGCTTGGAAGCCAATTTTTTTGACTGAATTATGCCTTGGCAAGCAGATTTCATTTTTTCTCCTGTATTGTATATGGCTTTGCAGGATGCCAAATGAAACAGAATTGCTCTTTGGATCACACAGAACAATTTTCAATGACTTGATGTTTTACTTGGCTATTCCCCCTTGAGATTGGTTTTCACTTCTCTTGCCTCCTACAGCAGCAGGTTGTTGTCTCCAGGGGAGAGGGACAATTACTGTCAGAGCCACACGTGAACTGGATTTTCACTTGGGCCTGCCTGTCAATCACGCATTTTCATGTTAATTAATTGTTTTCTGTATGAAACTGGGAATTTGACTCCTAACCACAGAGTCATAGACTTGTTAGGATTGGAACAGACCTTTAAGATAATCAATATGGTATCCATTAAAATGTTTTCTATTTATGTTTCATTTCTATTGTAGTTATTATTTCTGATTATTTATGATTTTTAATATTGAATAAAATAATGAATTTCTGTCCAGTGGGACAGAATTTTCTGAATAAAAATTAATTTTCTGAACAGTGGGGAATTGTTTTTTCTAGTAATTCTGTAATGGTGCACAGCCTACTTAAAATCTAGTGTGGTCTATAAAATAATTTCCTTTGTCTTCCTACATATATAGTGATTTCCTTTGTTTGATGATGAACTTCATGTGAAGTAGTTCCTTGTATTTAACCATAAAAATATATGATACATCATTACAAAATATCCATTTATTTCATCCAGGCAATTACTTTTTGAGTTATTTGATTGTAGAAAGAAATATCATGAAAGTTGTTCATTTTTTAGTTTGTTTCTTTTTTTTCTTTTTTCTTTCCCTGGATCTTGTGCCAAAACTTGTACAGAGGCAGGAAAAAGTCTGAGGAGTTAATTTACTTACCTGTTTCTGAGGATTCAGGAGAGCGGGCAATCATAATAAAATAGAACCAAATCAGACTTTTAATTCAGTATTTTTCAAGAGGCCTATTTAGGTTTGGAAATAAAATCAATCTGCAGCTGAAAACAGAACAGACCCTCAGGTCTTCTTTCTACCACATGCACTGGGAATTAGTCATGCATCTCCTATTAGTAATAGCTGAAGTCTTGTTTCTAAATCCTCATTAAAATTGTACCCTGCTTATTCCTAAGTAGAATATAGGAACTGCAGGCCTGAAGTAAGAGGAAATGCCTGGCACAAGGAAATTAAGGTTAATCTTCCCAGTGGATAGCACCACATGCCCTTGCTGTCTGAGATCCACTCTCCCCATCTGCTGCAGAGTTCCCTCTAGGCATGTCTGTACTGGTGTTAAGGTTTGAGGTGAGGTGTTAGGCAAAGCACACAAATCAGATTTGCTTTTTTTCTGTGTGGTTATTCCTACTTTACTCCCTTTAAATCAGAAATATTGCTTCCACATGTCACTACTTGATTAGCATGGAAGAACTGATTGAAGTGTCAGGTTGAAAGTAATGTGTCATGAACATGACAACATAACTTGGAATATATTTGGACAGCAACCAGCAAGAAAAAAGGGCTTTCCTGCTGCAAAGCCATCAAACCAGGCATAAATATTGAGTTAAAAGTAATTGATGGTTCATATAACTTAGTAATAATAAAATATAAATACTGTTGCTTCATACTCCCCTTTCATGGCAGTCAAAATTTTTCTGCTGTCTATAGTCTTGTGTTTATTATATATTATTTGATATGAAGTTTGGAAGTAGACATAAATTTTGCCTTTCTCGGGGTGCATCATCTATGCAAATAATCAGTTATTGATAAAGTAGTTTGACATTCTAGTAATATATCACTCATGGGAAATAAAAACTTTTAAAAATATTTTTTAAAAATCAAGTTAGATGTAAAATGATTTTTATCTTGGCAAGAATATTATTTCTTAATGATTTTTTAAAATGTTGTACAGTTCCTGCATATCTTGTGTATCTCAGGCTAACTCTTCACTACTCTGCTCTTACTTGTGAAGAATAGTTTAATGGAAAGTATGGAAGGGATGTTGGAACTATGTAATCTTTAAGGTCTCTTCCAACTTAGTCTATTCTATGATTTTGTGAATAAAAACCTTAGAAATACTGGGAAATGAAATCATGACAGTGACAATATTCCCCCTCCAAAAAAGAAAACTCAATTCAAATAAACTAGGGAAAAGTGTGTTATCATTTACTCATTGAAATCTAAGGACAATAAAATGTCTGTGTGTTTTTGGTTTTTTTTTTTCTATTTAGTTTAAATAGGAGTTACAGGCACACAAGACACTTTTATTACTTAAATTAATTGGTTCAGCATACTTTAAGATTAGTGCTCTTTATATATTTTTTGTGATAGCTGACAAACTGAAGCTATTCAGAATTCTTTTTCTCCTGGTTTATTGTAAGGGATAAATGAATAGTGCAGGCTTACTACCTTGGAAGATTGAAAAATGATTGTTTCAAGTCCTTGATTTTGCTTGTTTACACCTTTAAATTTGGAAATAGATATTATGTATGTCTCGTGCAGATGGCATGTGGGATTACTGTAACTCTTGACTTCTTTTTTTTTTTGTATTCTCCATTTTTTAATCAGTAAGTTATTTGTGAAAACATGTAATGAGTGAAGTAGACCTTTAAATGAATTTCAGTGTCAGCCTGTTTTAAATACCAAAGACTATAGCTTGGGGTAACTATAAAGCAAATGTTAGTTGTGAGCTAAGTCCCTAAGTACTGCCTGGTTGGTTCAATATTAAACCTGGAAGGAAAATACCAATGCAGAAGCTTAAGTAAAGAACTCTAGGGTCAGTATTGCTTTTTATGCTCTGACAATTACAGTTGGGTTTTTTTTTCCCCCAAGTAGATTGCTAAAGCTCCCTAAATTAAATTAGTTTTTGAATAATCAGCAAAAAGAAATGTCTTTTCTAACTTGATGAAAAAGCTTGTTTCTGTCACAATCCAGACAGCCAAACAACTTGAAGAGCATCCTCCACTGAAAGGAAGTATTTAAGTTTTGGTACTGGGATTAGAACCATTAGTTTAATTGGATGGA